ATATTATAAAATTGAATTAATTATATACCCATATTCGAAACCCTAATATTCATATTCATTTTGCTCCTCCTCAATCTCTCTCTACTCTACCTATTATTCTTTTTACCTCACCATCGTCGCCACCGACGAAGATGCTGAAGAAAAGGAAGTAGTGATGCACATCACCTGAGGTCGTTGGCAAGTCTCCTTTCAATTTGCTACAGATTTGACATCACAAGCTCCGACCATTGTCTCTTTATTTGTTGCAGATTCGGTGGCTTTAGGTTAGGGATATTATGGTTGGTGTTGGTGGCGATGCCATGGTGATAGCGATATCCACGAAGTGATTCCATGCGGTGTGCATTCTCGTGACATGCGGCGCGCATTCTCAAGCGCACGAGAAATTAGGTTTGTCTGTTGTTTTGTGTTGGTGGCATGGAGGTGGTAATGGTGTCGTGGTTGTGGTGGCTGGTCGATGTTGGTGGTGCGCCGTAGTGATGGCGACATCGACGGAGTGGTTTTAGACAGTGCACCTTCTCATGTTTGGCAATTGTTTTGTGTTGGTGGAGGTGGCGATGGTGCCGTGGTTGTGGCGATTGGTTGGTGTTGGTGGCGGTGTCAGGTGGTGGCAACAACGATGGAGTAGTTTTCTTGGATCTGTTGGTGACCATGGTTTTTGTTGGTGGCATTGGCGGTGAATCTGGCGATGGCAATAGTGGTTTTGTAGTTGAAAATGGTGGCTCGTTGGTGGTTGTGGTGGTGAAATGGTGGTGTTTAGAAGTTGAAAATAGTAGTTCGGTAGTAGTGGTGGCGGCAAGATTGCATCACTTTCTGTTGGTGCCACGATGGATTGGGATTAGGATAGAGTTAGTGCCATGGTGGATTGGTGTTTATGATCAATTATTGAAAATGTGATCAATAAATAATATATGATCGATAACTTGTGATCATTAAATAATATGTAATCTAAAAATTCAAGTTGTGACTTATAAAATTTGTGATTTGTGATTAATAAATAAATTGTGGCTAATAAAAGTTTTGATTTTATGATCGATGAATAATCTGTGATTTATAAATTATTATTTTTATTTCTCAATCAAGTTGTGACCATTAATTTGATAAGTTGTGGGCTGAAAATTAATTTGTGACTAATAAGTTAGATATTTTGTGACATAAAATAAGCTGTGACTTGTAAAATTTGTGATTTGCGACCAATGAATAATATGTAATTTATTAATTTGATAAATTTGTGATCGATGAGTAAATTGTGACCTATAAAATTTTTGATTTGGGATAGTGAAATAATTTGTGACCTATAAAGTATTTATTGTGATCGAAAAATAATTTGTAACCAAATCGTATAGAATTGTGACCTTAATATATTTAATTGATAAAATATATGTTTCATAAATTAGTTTATAAATAAAAAAAATTTGAAATTTTATACTTTCTTTTTTAGTTTTAAAATGTGGCATACTTAATCCTTATGTATGATTTTTTTCCCGTTAAAGGGAGGACATAGGAAATTGGAATTAGGCACAGTAGGCCCAATATGCCACGACACGTCAGGCTACCCAAATGAGCTGCCTACCTTTTCTTTTCCTTTTACAAAATTACATTCTGGTGGGATTGGTTCATCTAACAGTATTTTTTAGGGAAAATTATAACAGTGATTCCTAAACCTTTTTATTTTTTTTAGACTTTACCTCAACTTTCATTTTGTGCCAGCGAGAATCTCTAACCTTTCATAAATATGCATTTGAAGTACATCTGGACGAAAACTATTCAAAATACAGTCAGTTGGACAGAAAAATTAAAAATGAGGCATTTTGACCATTATAAGAGGGGCAATTTCGACCATACAGATTTTTTACCATTCTGATCATTAATTATTCAAATCACTATACATTTTCCTCCATTTCATTCAAGATTTATTCTTTCTTTCAGTGACTGCCAAAAGCTTTTCAGAAAAAGAGAGGGAGATGAATGTTTGTACATGTGGGTTTCCCGTGGAGACAAGGACTTCAAGGACGAACTTGAACCCAGGAAGAAGATTTTCAATTGTCCACAGCGTCAGGATGTAGGTGCATGTAATTTCTTTGACTGGTGCAACGCCCCAATGTGTGCAAGGTCCAAGGAGCTAATCCCTGGATTTCTACGGGTTAGAAGAGAGATGGAAGTTGAAATAAGTCCCTCCGTTCTAGAAGCCTTAGTATGTGGAAGACTTGGCTCATTAGATTTGTATATGGGGTTTTTGTGAAATTCGGTATAATAAAACATGTTATTACTTAGTGCTTCGATTTTTCCCTTCTCATATTTTCCTCTTCTTTGCTAAAGATGAATGTTCAGAATATAAAAGGAAAATTTTGTTTGCAAAATGTTATGGAGATGATGCAATGATGATCCAAAACCTTTTTCAGAATTTTTAGAAACGGTTCCAGACGTTTTTCGCAGAACAATTCCCTAACATTTTGCTAAGTTTGACTGTTCGAGGGGAGGTCGTTAACCATTTTTCTTTCAGATTTGTAGACAAAGTTTGTACTAATTGTGAACATTTCCATACTTGTTCACTTTAAAAACATAAAACTGAAAATCGAAAGTGCAACAATGAATCGAATGACTGAAATTTTGAACACTCATTTTATTTACAATCGGAATATGCATCATCAAAAAGGTATTTCAATACAAAATGCGCCCAACACATCAAAAGATTGGCGTTGTACAAGAATGTTATTAATTTCACATTGCAAAAGATCATGGATGTTACAAAATCAGTCTAATATATCAACAGATCATGAGTAATAGTTAAGTTCCTTTTTCCTTGCCCTTCTTCTTCTTTGCTTGAGTCCATGTCTCGTTGGATGTATATGCTTTTCTCTTGCCTAGAACAAATCTATTAGATCAATTAGGATTCACGTAGCCAAGATATGTTATCTTAGCATGCTTGTACACAAAAATTCGCATCTTGAAGAATAATATACAACCATGGTGTAATATTATGGTGAAATAAGTTTATTCTCCCTTGTAAAACAAGGTAAAGACAAATGATCATCAGATCCAAATCCTAGTCTCACATTACACGAAGTTCATAACAAAGAGCATCGATATTTTCAGAAACTACAAAGCACAATAATACTCACCATACACAGGTTCGGGAAGAAGGCCTCATATGTGGCAAGCATTATCTTCAAATTTTTCGTCAAATTCATGGCTTCCTTCTTTAGACATTGTAGAAGATAACCGTTTCGTTTCTTTCTCTCTATTATGTGAATAGTGGGTTGAGAAACGTATTTCTTCCTTTTAATTAAATGGTCAAAAAATTGTATGGGCTAAATTGCCCTCCTTAAAATGGTCAAAGTACCTCATTTTTAATTTTCCTGCTTAGGTGATAGTATTTTGAACGGTTATCGTCCAGATGGATCCTAGTTGCATATTTATAAAAGATTAGGAACCTTCACTAGTATAAAATAAAAATTAGGGTAAAATCTAAAAAAATGAAATGGTTAAGGACCGCTACTGCAATTTTTCCTATTTTTATTGTTTGAACTCGAATCACAATTTCATTCATTACAATTATAAGCAGAAAAAATTTATTACAATAAAAGTAGGTGGATAGGACCGGAGACAAAAATGGAAAATGGCTTTGTTCATTAGAGTCTATTGGTTTGATTACTGCTTTTGCTTCTTTTCTTTTTTTTTTTTCTAGTAAAAGAAATTTTTGAAAAAATTAATATATATCAATTTTTTTCTAAAAACTCTTTTAGCCAGAGAAAGTATGTGTATAAAATTATTCAAACAGATTTAAAGTATTCTTTTAATTTGAACAACAACTTTTCAAAAACATTGCCAAACGAACTCTTTGAGCATTCAAAACCATGCAATCGTGTAATGTACCAATTTGTATCTAAATAAATAGAAGGGACGCAAGTTCTAGTAAAAAGAAGCGATTGCTTAGGGCCTTTAATTTTTACAACGGTCCGATTCGATAATACTACATCGAATTTAATTTTTCATTTCATATAAATTTACCAACTATTCATACACAGGAAACTCCATAAATAATTAAAAATCATGAAAAAATAAATAAATAATGAATACATTGAAAAAAATTCTTCAATAACAAGATAACAATTAAAAGTTTATAATTACTAGAGTTTTATCCGATTATAAATTATAATTCAATGTGTTTGGTGAAGATTAAAATTAAATTTTAGATATAAGTTTTTGAAATGTGTAATTGAAAAGTTGTGAAACCTATAAAAGATGTTATTAATATTAATTGTTTAATTTTGACTTATACTAAAATCAAATTTTAATCCAAACCAAACATGCCATTATTCTTCATAAAAATTTTATTTATAAATGTAATTTCCGTTGGTACTGGTAAAAATAAATTATATTTTTGATAAATATCTTTTGTAAAATAGAGATAAAAGACAATTTAAAATTATAGCTGAAAATTTTGGTAATTTCGAGAAATTAAATATTTCAAAATTTCAACTTCTCAATTAAATTATATCAATAAATAAAGTATACAATTAAAAAATAAAATAATAATGACAAAAACCTTTGCCAATGGCATTTAGGAAAATAATAATAATAATCATACAGTGTAGAAAACTTTTGTCAATTGCTTCCCAGTTCAGAATTTCTCTTAGCAAATGCATGGATACAGATTCATTGCACGTTCACTCCATGCATTAAAGAATTCGCCTAAAGAAAAAGAAAAGGTAAACTAAGATTTGCTTCATTCCCAGCATCATTTAACGATACCAGAACTTATCGTCGGGTTACAATCCGAGAGAATTCAGAAGATGAAACATCAATGACTAACAACAAACGACGCTTATGCAAAGAAAAGAACAGATCTACTAAGTTCACAGAAGCAATATAAGCGTCTGCTAAATCAGCTGGCACATCTAGATTGTAGTACCATGATGAAACCTACTTACTTTTCGTGCAAAAACCATGACATTATGACCACTAATTTTTTCAGAAGCATTTTAAAACTAGATTTTGGCTGTACAAAACTAGGAATTCAGATAAAAACATTGCTGCTTCAAGTAAATAAACCTGAATAACCAAATTCTGACCGATGCATTACGACTTCGCAAAAACCATAATTAGCCCTTAGCGACAAAAGAGTATATCTAAACTCCTGTATTTCAATCAAAGAGGGTGAAAGTATTTACATCTTCAAAAAGTAATAACAGATTTAGTGAAATTGCAGCTTTTTTTATTCTCCTTGTGATGCCTACAAATCGCGAGCCTGCAAAGCAAACAATCAGCCAAATGTAAGTTAGAAATTGCAGTTTCAAATGCAGATTACGGTAATGTTGACTGCAGACGCAAGAGATGCATTAGAAGAAGTGACAAAGGAAAAATATCTGGTTCATGAATGTCTCCACTTTATATTATGTGATTCAATTACTACATTTGTAAAATTATTTTAGAGAAATAAAAAAAGAACTAGATAATGCAAAGGACTCGCTGATAACTGTCTCACCTAAAGCCGAAGCAGTTAGAGAGAGACCACATTTATTTTTTTAAACTTGATCTTCAACGCAGACTCCATAATTAAGAGTATGTTCAGAAGAATGTAAATCTGAATGCTCAGGAAATTGTACCTGGGAGGGAAAAACCCATTTCCCATTTATCCATTCCTGATGTGCCCTCAGACGAGAGTGATTAAACCCCAATTCCTCATCGGAGCTCCTAAAATATACATTGTATTTGTCATTTTTACGAACTTTGGAAATTACACCCACCCACCAAATATCATTATACAAAGCCTCAACTTTCTCAAGAACTTCAAAACGATCAAGTAGTTCAATATCAGGTGGGCATGGCCTTATATGTGATGTGTCAACCTCTTCTCTCAGGAATTCTGTATCATTGTCATTCCTGAGGGTTTGATACTCAATTAGGTACTTGTTTTTACCTAATTTTTTGACAATAGTTGCAGGAAACCAAGCACCTTCAAATCCATCTTCATCACTACTGACTTCAACTGGTGCTCCAGGGTAAAAATTATTTAAAATTCTCTCTTTGTTAGACTTCACTTCTGTTGCCGCTGAAACTTCCTGCAAATTAGATGTTAGAGATACAAGCATATTTACCAATTCTTTTGCCAAGAAAAGGAAGCTGAACCTTCTTCATTCACATACAAAGAGAAGCACTTAAGTTGACAAAAAGAAGAGGAAAAAGATGAATGCTATCCAGTTTTCGTAGGACCATGCCACTAATAGAGAGTAGCTAGTCACTTTCCGACAAAATTTAAATTAACAAATGTTTTCTATCTCTATTAGAGTAAACTTTTAGATGACGTGGTTCAAAATAGAATTTTTTGAAGATTCGCAAACCCCCATTAATGAAAATTGTTCACTCTGTATCCGGCCTTTCATGAAAAAGAATCTTGCTTGCATGTGAGGAGGTGAGCTGGAGACTAATTTAGATAAATAAATATGTGTCATCTATAACTACTTAATCTTTTAAACGAGATTATAGCATGGATGGGTGGCATGTCATGTCCTTGTCTGACAATCCGAGGACAATCTAGGACTCGTGTCCTAGTTTTTACATATTTTCCCAGTCTCCAACACTTGAGGGACACTTTCTGGGTACACATTGAGCACCTGTATCACACCCCCATCAATATTTTTCATATTCTTTATAGTTCTAACAGACGAGAAACATAACCTCAACACATCAAGGACACAAAAGACCATAGGAGTGTCTCCAACTTGTCAGCCTCACCTTTTTAAAAAATCACATGTTGCTTGTCCTGTTTTGGTCCTGTATGTGTTGTGTGTTAGTATAAGTGCTTCTTGTAGGTGGTTCAACACTTCCAGAACTAGCATGGAACAAATCTCCTAGAAAATTTGACCATTTGATTCCCAGAGATCATTAGAAGGCTCCAAATGTTAGATTCTTGTAAAGTAAATTCAGTCAAGCAGCATTCTATGCACATTCAACCTTATCTTCAGTCCAACTATCTCTACGTTCTTCTACAGTCAAACCAGTTGACAATGACTTCATCAATATCCAAATCAATGTTCAAAAAACAAAATTAAAGCATCCAAAATTAAAATCACAGATATATATGTGAGTGAATTGAACAGAATTCAAGCATCTAAAATTAAAATTATATATATGCAAGTGGATAGAAATACCGATGGTCCTGATTTTTTGACAGAAGTTGCAGCAAATGAAGCATCTTGACATCTATCTTCATCGCTTCTGATTTTGACAGTTGTTCCGGGGCTAAAATTATTGTCAGCAGTTTTTTTCTTGGGCTTTACTTTAGTTGACATTGAGACTCCCTGCAGTGAAATATATAAATATTAGAATATTTATCGATTTTTTGCCGAGAAAAGAAAGATGAACCTTCATTCTTTCAGAGAGAGAGAGGTATTTAATTTCACAAAAAGAAGAGGAAAAGATAAAACAAAAGCAAAGGGGTTCAAATATTCAACTGAAAGTCCTATCATTTAGATACTATCCATCCTCTTAGAACCCTCTTAAGTATTAGCGAAAGTATCTCATAACTTTCCAACAAAAGCATGGAAAAAAACCCCATGAAAAATTGACCATTTGCTCCCCAAAGATCATTAGAAGGCACCAAAAGTTTGATTTGGCAGGGAAAAGGGACTGGTTCTCCATTTTAGGATGGCCCAATCTAACTTCAAATCTTCGATTTGCAAGCTTCTCGTATTGAGTCAAGCAGTATTTTTTGCAATTTCAAACCAGTTGATAGTGACTGCGAGCATGTTTAAGTGGGCTTCGAAACTTGCTTATTTTACTTACAAGGATGAGAGAGAAATATGCCCATATAAGTCCACCCAAGATTGCTCTTCATCAACAACCAAATCAATGGAGAAAAATACAAAATTCAAGAATCCAATATGAAAACCATATACATGCCAGTGAATTCTGCAGAAACATATGCATATATTAAGTTTATTTTTACATATTCTAGCATTTATCTTTGAATATATGAGGCTCATTTTAGATATAAGTAGGACCGCAATACATACTACATATAAAAACTTAACAAAGCTCTATCAAGTTATTATAAGATTAACTTTTAAGATTCTCTTTCAAATTTGTAGGCTACAATTCCAATATTTATCAAAGAAACAAATAAAAGAATTCTATTTGAAATACAAATTACTTTCAGTTTATAACTTTATCAACTTTCTACCAAACAGGAGCATAATTTTAACAGATTAACTTCATTATTAATTTGAGAAATAAATCTAGTAGAATTGACTTTCACTTCAATCGAGCACATTTAAAAGCAAATGATTAGTAATCCAATTCTTAATATTCTTCGACTTAAAGACCTGGTTATAGATTGGCAATTAAACATACAAAAAGACATTCATAACAAAAGGAACCCTACTACTTTGAATACGTATTTCAAATATACGTGTTTTTAGTTGAAATTAATGACATGGCAGCATGACTATCAAATTTCTACAAAAAGATAGTGGCAAAAAAAAAAAAAAAAAATAGCATCTTGTAGTTTTGAGGCAAGGAAAGAAAATTTAAATTAATATACTCTTTGACGAGACTCTGAGTGTGAATTTGTTCCCTCCATATTTTCTTACGACAGAATGACGACTTAGGAGGGAGCATCTTTCTTGAAGTTAAAGAAGCTCACATTAAGCGCAAAGTGATCCTCGTAGAACAAGTCAAAAGACGAATAGATGGACCAAATTTAATATGAATTGATGCGATTTCAAAAAAATTGATTTATTGAATTTTTTGTGGACATAATGGATTGAGAGGAGTAGCAAAGAAAACAATGCAGCGACCCCAAGGTTATTGGAAAAAGGGCTTAGCATTTTCTACTTCTTGTTGCAGATTCTTTTAAATGCTTCTTGAGAAACTGGTGTCTCCTCAAGCAGGTGGCATTCCATATTTCTTAGAGTGCTTTGAACTAGATCAACAACTCAGTCTATTACTTGTTTTCCCTTTGACACTTAGCCCCTATTTGGTTTTGCTAAAAGTAGATTTTTTGTATATTTTGATATGAGTTAATGAAATATGTGGTTCAACAGTAGATAAAAGTTGTAGGTCCATCAAATGTATGATTAAAATTTTATCAAATTTTTTAGATAAGCCAAACATTGGCATAATATGCTTTGAAAACGATGCCTTACAACTAAAGAAAAAATCAATTAAGGCCACCCGAGATGTAACATGGATTTTGCAGCCCATCACCATACCAGAGAGCAATGACTCACAAGTTTCTTGTTTATTAAGCAAATCACAATATCACCACTAGATGTTATGGGACATCATGTGCCATCAACTGCAAAGTCTGACACCATTGCCATAACATGCTAAGTTACTGCACTACTCTAGGTGCCACAGTCATTTCATTCATAAATCTTGGGGTTCTACCAAAATGAAATTTCTCCTAAAGCATTCTCACCCTTCCAGCTTATGGTTATGGAGCGCAATAGAGACAGCTAAATTGGCTTTCTGTACTGCAAAAGTACTCTCGTGAATATCATTTAATTACAGAATCAGCATATACAAGGCACAATGCACTTGCATTCTAAAAATCAACAAATTAGGAACGAGTCCAAAGAGCTATAACACGTGATCTCAGTTATAGCATGCAATAATCCCCAAGTTTTTCGGTCGTATCCAAGGTAAAATGTTGCAAAATATGCTCTTTTTTTAATAAAATAAATGGATTAATTTTTTATTTTTTATTTTTATCTTTTTGTTATCAAAAGTTGCTTAGCTGAGAATCTTAATCCACGACCTTAAGACTTCTCAAATGTCAACAATTCTGTCAAACTAATTGTTCATCAGAGACATTCAAGTTCCCAACTAAACCATTGAATATTCACACCCTGTTAAATAATGCATTGAGAAGAGGGAAAAACTTGTATTCAACATCAAATATTGGCCAAGTAACTTCAAGAGAACTTTAAAGAGTCTAATTATGCTTCCTAGTTCCTATATCATAACATAATCCGATAACTAATTAATATAATTCTATTTAGGTGGGGTAACAAATAACACATTCAATCAGGTTTCCATCAAAGAAAATAAGAAAATTGCATATACGCCAATCAAAATGGACAGGATACAAAAAACAAAAGAAACAAGAAAAAGACTATCTATTACCGTGAGATTCTATACATGTTAATTGACCCCAAATTGGTCCTACTATCATGTAAATTGTAATTTTTGGATACAAAATATATGAAATCTAATTACACCACCTTCTATACAGGCTGCGTTTCTTAAATGTTCCTACTATAATTCTCTTGGAAATTATGAGATTAGACAAATGATTGAGACGAATGTTCACCTACGAAAATTGATTGAATACTGATTCAGAATACAAGTTGAAATTTTTAAAACATTAAATATATGCAATCGGGTCTAATAGCTACCATGCATATATACATTTACATCAATTCAAACAGAACAGTACATGAAATTGTAATTCAAGTATCCACTGAACAAACTTAAAAAATCCAATGTACCTCAACCTTTGGCCGCTTCAATGGAGGCGACTTGTCGAATCCTGTTTCAAACGGCGGGAGCCACTTCCCGACGGCCCACTCGTGGTGGCGCCTCAGCCGGGAAGCCTTAAAGTTCTTCTGCTCCCGGCTGCCCCGAAAGAACACCTTGTATTTATCCTCCCTCAATACTTCAGTTATGACACCCTCCCACCACCCGTCATGGTAATAGGCGTCCACATTCTCACTGGACTCGAAACTACAGCGATTCTCCCGCGGAGGGGCCGGCCGAAGCTGTAACACGTCCACCTCCTCCCTCAGCCGCCGCGTGCCATCGTCCTTAAACAGGGTTTTGTACTTCACTAGCACCTTCATGCAAGAATTCCTCTTCGATTTCCTGTGGCTAAGGACAGTACCCGCGTACCACGAGCCTTGAAAGCCTTCTTCTTTGCTGCTGATTTCAACTTCCGCGCCTTTGTAAAAGTAATGGGCTACGGTATCTTCGTCAATGTCTGCCATTGTTGATACTATGAGAAGGCGAATCAAACTGGGTTTTTCTCTTTTCTTTTGCGAATTGATTCATGTGTAAAGGGTAATTTGGGAATTTTCATTTTTGGGGAAAACTGCATCAAGGGTCCCTCATCTTTACAAAGAGTACAAATAGATATCAAACATTTATTTTCTGACATTGTCATTCCAAACCGTTAAAAAATATTCTGTATAAGTACTTTTAGATGGAGCGATCCATTAGTTTGGGATGTGCACTTTTTAGACGGGGTTCAATTGGTAAACAACTTAGGTGACTGTTGAAATTCCACTATAAATTATTGAATGGTTTGTCACATGGCTCCTTAATATCCACACACACAGAAATAAATAGATCATAAAATAAAATAAAGGGAAAATGAAAATGAAAAATGACAAAAGTAATAAATAAATAAATTATATTCTATGTACGTGTCCTCGCATCCATACAACCAACCAAGCCCTTCCATCCATCATCACCTCTACATCGTCGCGCTGTCACCAACCCCAACCCGGAGTCCCTCAACTCACACCGCCAATAATCTCCGTTAGCATTATTACCGCTAGTGCTATCGCCACACCATAGCCAATTTCTCTAAACCCTAGGTAGTACCATGAACTCCACTAATCGACAACCTTCACCACCCAAAATCATATCTACCTCCACCACCAAAATAAAATATACTGTCAAACACATATTTGATTACATTATTTTTGCTATCAAAACCATCTAAAGTTTCTATTTTTTTGTTTCATTTCTCGAGTGGATGTAACATTTATTAAATATTACATAAATCCTAATTCTCAAATCTTCAAATTTAATGAATTTCACTTAAGCATAAATTAACTAGGAAACTTGCATTAATCTTAGCAGATTATTGAAAATATCAAACGTGCAAAATTAAGTGAACAAGAAAATATAATTCCTCTCTCATCGTCATATTCTTTTGTACATACTTTTAATTATAGGAATATATAAGCATCAATAGGTATATGCCCTTTTTTATATAGTTAAAAACTGCTCACTTTCCATCAAAATATAGCTCAAAAACCCCTGCTTCACAAATCAAATAGGAGTTTAGTATAGTGATATTTATTAAACGACTTAAATTTAATACTATAGATAACACATAAGCCACTTAATAGGTTTACAATCTCTCAATTGGCTCACATGATGTTATTTTGCTATACGGCTCAATAAAAAAACATAATGCATATGATATATAGCTAAAATCCTTAATATATTGATCACTTAGCCCCCATTTGAGCCACATTATTATAAAAATGAGAATGAAAAATATAATCGTTATGGGCCCTACACAAGAGATAAAAAAGTCAAATATGGTTGCTCGATGTGATGGATAACAGTCATATTTTTCATTTTAATGAGAAAATAATGGGACTCAAACATGGCCTTAATATATCATCCTCAAGAAAAGGAAATAGTCGTTAATACATTGATCACTTAATATCACTTAATGCATCATTAGTTTGACATAGACATTTCCATGTATACACTTCACCTAAATTAAAACCATTAAAGTAATAAAATAATTTCAACGACCATACTCACTAGTGTTCATACTTTGGGCAAGTCTATTAAATGTCTTTCATAACAATCATTTCATTAGTCTATGTTAAAACCTAAGATTGGTAGTAATCTGCTCAATTGATACTTTATTTCTACACTTCTTTAATGACAAAGCATTTCAATAGCATAAGTTAGCACCTTTAAGGTACCAGTCATTCTTTGAAGAAAGGATTGTGCAAATTACAACACTAAACTTCAGTAGCTTGGCAATGCTGTCCACAAATTCATGTACTGAAATGAAGTCCTAAAGCCAATTTTCTTGAACTATGGCCTCAAATCATGCTACAAAGTCAACCTCCATAATGGATACAATATTGAATGAATGCTTCACACTTTTCAATGGTATTACCCTTGCAGCTAAGAGGAACAAATAGCCATATATGAACTTTTTAGTATTAACACATTCAACAAAATTTGAATCCTTTAAGGGATCATGTTGGATTTCGTCCCTTGGAAGTATCTCGACATTCTTTTTCCAGCATTTCAATGTTTGAGTCTTGAATTACTTTGATGTTGGCTTAGCATTCCAACAATCCAACTAAATAGAATATTGGATGCAAGTATGTTGAAAGTGCTGAGTAGAAATGGCGATGACAACATGAGAATGATAAATGTCCAACCTAAAAACCTTATGGAGGAAGGAAACGGTTGATTTTGATTTGAGTAATGCTATTCATAAACAATGATGAATAAAATTTTATGTGGCAATAGAGTCAATGTCACATTAATGAATATAATGCATCCAAATTCACTGGATAAAATATTAGTAATCTTATAATCACATATATTGTTGTTCATTATCTTTATTGATGAGTTGCACTATTCTTTTGAATGGAGAATAATTTGTTTCTGTAAAGTAATTTCATTGTTTTTGTCAAAGGTATTTTAGATAGTTATTAAATTTCAAGTAAAAATAATTATTTTTAATTTTAAAGTAATTATATTGACAAAATATTTTTCTTTTAATGTACCACATCTTAATTATACTAAATGTTCTTAACACTTGCTCATTATTGCACTCGTGTCCCCAATTATTTTATTTTATTCTTATCATCATCACTTTCACCAATTTCTATATTTTGTTAGAAGTTTGTTAAGAGGGTAATAAGACTCATAAGCCCCTCCTAATTTTAAGAATAATACTATTCAGCACACGTATTACAATACCAAGGAAAAAATTAAATAGTTGAACATATCATATAGTATCACATAGAATGTCGATATATAATACCAATTGTGCTAAATAACATTATTTTAATTTTAAACAAATAAAAAATGACAAATATTTATAGATGTGCGATATAATTTTTGTCATTTATTATAAAACATGTTATTAGAATATTTGTAAGGAAAATATTATTAGAAATAAGATGTGCTAACAAATAAAATATTCTCGATAAAAATGTGATGAAAAAATATTGAAGACATAAAATATGACAATAAATAACGATTAAAAATCTTTAAAATAATTAAAACTTTATGGTCAAAGCCTCAATTGGTAACGAGGCCATTTTATCTAATTCCACCGTCTTCATTAGTAAGAAGTGGAAATTGGAGGCGCGAATTCGAACCAGAAATTTATGCCGTCTCCCTCTCCATTGTCTCCATTTTTTTGTTTGCTGATTTTTAGTATGCACTGGTTTTATTGAGACTTACAAGTCCTTCATAAGTTTGTTAGGAGGGTATAGTAAGACTTAGAGGCCACTCATAATTTATTGATTGTTGATTTAGCCATGAACTCATCTTTTAACACAAATCCCATTTCACGAACAACAATTAATTTCTCAATTTTAGATACCCTTTTGATTCGATGCCGAAAATTCATGCAATTTAGTCAGATTTTGGGACAGATGGTCTCCACTGGGTTTATCAAGGACACTTATGCCGCAAGCAGAATCCTCAAGTTTTCCACTGACTCCAACTTTATACACATTAATTATTCCCATAATATCTTCTGTCACATTGAGAATCCAAATGGGTTCATTTGGAACACCATGTTGAGGGCTTTCGTGCAAAGAAACCAGGCCCAAGATTCAATCTTTCTATATAAATCTATGTTAAAGAAGAGTTTTTTATGCATTGATAATTTTACTTATCCAATCTTGATTCAGGGCTGCTCAGTTGAATTTGCTGAATTTGAGGGCAGAGAGTTGCATGATCATGTGGTGAAAATGGGTTTTGATTGTGATGTCTATGTGGTGAACAATTTAATTTATATGTATAGTGTGTGTGGTAAAGTAAGTGGTGCAAGAAGGATGTTTGATGAAAGTCCTGTGTTGGACTCAGTTTCATGGAATTCGATGTTGGCGGGGTATGTTTTATCAGGGAGTGTTGAGGAAGCTATGCTAATGTACAATAAGATGCCGAAAAAGAACGTGATCTCATCGAATTCTATGATTGTGCTGTTGGGTAAGAAAGGTAGAGTGAGTGAGGCTTATCAGTTGTTTAATGAAATGGAAGAAAAAGATTTGGTTTCTTGGACTGCATTGATTTCTTGTTATGAGCAGAATGGCATGTACGAAGAGGCTTTGGATTTGCTTGTGAATATGTATCATAATGGAGTTAAGGTAGATGAGGTAGTTGCTGTCAGCGTGCTTTCTGCCTGTGCAAATTTACTGAATCTTGGAATGGGAGAATCTATTCATGGTTTGTTTACAAGAGTTGGTTTGGATTCCTATGTAAATCTTCAGAATGCTTTGATCTTCATGTATTTACGATGTGGTGATGTATTGGCTGCACAAAAATTGTTCGATACAGGTTTTTGCTTGGACCTGATATCTTGGAACTCTATGATCAGTGGATACCTTAAATGTGGTTTGGTCAAGAAGGCTAGAGAATTATTTGATACAATGCCTGAGAGGGATCTTGTGTCATGGAGTGCAATGATATCTGGTTATACCCAACTTGATCGGTACCAGGAGGCTTTAGCACTGTTTAATGATATGCAGCATGATGGTATTAAACCCGACGAGACCATTTTGGTCAGTGTGATTTCTTCTTGTGCTCACTTAGCTGCACTTGACCAAGGAAAATGGATAGATGCTTACATACGGAAGAATGAGCTGAAGGTTAACACTATCCTTGGTACTACTCTTATTGACATGTACATGAAATGTGGGTGTGTGGAAAATGCAATGCAGGTTTTTAATGGATTAGAGGAAAGGGGAACTTCTTCATGGAATGCTGTAATTCTTGGCTTCGCTATGAATGGACAGGTAGAGAGGTCACTTGAGTTTTTTGAAGAGATGAAGAAATGTGTAGTACCCAACGAAATAACCTTTGTGGCAGTTCTTGGGGCCTGTCGACATGTGGGTCTTGTAGGAGAGGGGCGCCAATTTTTTGATTCAATGGTTAAAGTATACAACATTGAACCCAACATTAAACACTATGGCTGCATGGTTGATCTTCTTGGACGAGCAGTGCTGTTGACCTAAAGAGCATGCACAGAGGCTCCTGAATTTTACAATTTTCCAAGTTATTGAATGAATTAATGCTCCTGTTTGACACCAGTCATTAAGGAACCAGATTTCTGTTTTCGGCACAAATGAGACTAGCATTTCGACTCTGTTTAAAGATGGAGATGCAAGTATTTAGAGCATTTACTATCCTTATTATATTTTCTTCTCTTCATTAGGGTTATTTTGATGTGAATTTGACTACCATTTCCACCTGTAGGGTCGACGGCAAGCCATTATATCTATCCCAATTGAATGAAATCTGTTTAAGATATTCGATGGACTATAACTGGTCACTGGTCAGCATATTGTGGCAGGTACTCAGAATTTTCAAATTGCATTGCCTTTTGTTGCTTTTATTGTTAGACCACAAGACTTTAATTACGTTTACCAGAGGTTTTTTCATAACCAGAATCGTTAATTAACTTGAGATTGATAAGATTTTCCTGTCTCGAAGTTCTTTACCGCTGCCCCCTCCTTTGAACACACGGACACCCAAAACAGGAAGAAAAATGTAAAAGTGTTGTCAGTTATGAAAGGGAAAGGAATTATATCACTGAGCTCTTTATTGAGTAAAAATGTTGTAGATGAGAGATGACAGTATCACAAAGTTCTTCTATTCAATGAGTCGATGACGATGTAAGTTATTGCACCTCTTAGTTTCTAGGTTATGCACAGATCCTTGTATCTTTATTTGGAGATAGTATATCACTTTGTTGAACTTTAATATGCACTCTCTTTCATGGATAGAATCCCTTTTAGGTAGCCCAACATAACACGTTGAGAGAGGGACAGCTAGACCAAATTAGTGTTACGTTAGGAGGTTGCAAAAGATTTGATTTCATTGGACATATCATAAATAAGTAGTTTTGGATTGAACGAGCGATAGCAAAAAGGAATTCATGTAACAGACCCCAAGTTTACTTGGAATAAGAATTGGGTACTGTTGTATTCCGTCATTTGCATATGGCTGATAGTTCTCTTGTTTATTCTTTATTCTTAGTTAATTGGTTTGTTAATCTCTTTAATTGCCATAATATGTCCAAGCTTCATGCTTTTGTCATGCTGAATGGAACTCTCTTTTATTGCCATAGTATGTATTCCGTAATTTGCATAGGGCTTGCACTTTTGGTATTTAAAGTCCGGAAAATCATCAGCTAGTATTTGATCTAAAACTAAGCGAATTTTGAAAATCTGCGATGCCTCTAAAATTTTGTACATGAATTACTCTTTCAATTGGACAGTTTTGGAGACAGAAATCTTAGCAGAAATAGTTAAATGTGTGATTTAATAACTAGATTGCCTTGGCTCATTATGAGAAACCCAGTCAGCAGCACTATACATCAGAAGGTGTTTTTATCCTTGTAATATTTATGATATTTGTTTTTTCTATTGAAGGTAAAAAAAAAAAAAAAAAAAAAAAAAAAAAAAAAAAAAAAAAAAAAAAAAAAAAAAAAAAAAAAAAAAAAAAAAAAAAAAAAAAAAAAAAAAAAAAAAAAAAAAAAAAATTCTGCTTTCTATGTTCTGGAGATGGTAGAATATTGACTACTGTTGAATTCAATGAGCAGCATCCATAACTCCTGTTTGCACAAGCTACAGTATTTTGTAATGAGGAGAAGTCGAACACCTTATAGCATTGAGTTTGAATGAAGTTACCTGCCATGCGGGAAGTAGTTGATAAGGAGCCTTGTGCATTCATAATCTTATGTTGAATGTTTTTTTCGTACTTTCAAGGTACATACTCGGTACTTCCTCCATTATTTAACTGACATGTGTATTGGATAAATGAGACCTACTATCAATCGGACCAAGATGTAGATAAATAACACATGTCAATTTAACAGTGATAGGAAGTATCGAGTTTTCACATTATGAGAGTACTAGAAATTTTCGCCTAATTTTTCCTCCCCTTAATTCACTAAGCATGTATTTGAAAGTTACGAATTTTCGCCCCCTTCTCACTCAATCACATGAAAGATCTTATGTGATATTTCTAAAAAGTAGAGCATATCTACATTGAAGATCGTGAAAAGTTGCGTAGTAAAGTAGCATGTTCAACAAATATGAGAGTGCTCGAGACTTGCCATTCCCATGAAAGAAAACTTTCTTGCATACCGTTTCGTTACCAAGTACCACAATATGCTTGCTTCTATTCCCTCCGAGGAATGAACATCTTGATTGGAAGAACTACGGAAAGTAATCCATAACATAAATAAGGGTAAAGAATGAACAATGCTCTGTAAAGAAACTACATTGTCTTTATATAAAATTGAAGTGACTACAAAATTTTTAAATGTTTAATTACATTGTCGCTTCATTATTACTGAATACAAATATAAATAAAAATTACATTGCATGTTAAATTTACAATTACAACAAAAGATCAGTTTGTCATTTCATTCATCCGAATATCGAATATTCGGATTAATTCGTCTTGCTCCAGATGCTAGTCGAAATAAATATAACTAAATCCGAAATTTGTTTGACGCTTGACACTATCATATACTTCTCAATGGCAGCTCGTCTTCAAGTTCCATCTTCTAAGTTATGTACTAAGCAATGTAAATCAAGATTACATTCTACTTCTTTCATATGCAGAACGAGACTATCGACAACTTCATAGACCCACTCGACATGGGAACCCAACTTATCTCCCGCAACGAAACTGTAGATTTGATTCCTCACCTCAGTCCAACTTCTCCCTGGCTCTTTCTTATTCACCATTCTTCTCATTAATTTCCTCATTTTGGCAGCATCTCCCCACTTACCATCAGACGCATATATGTTTGACAACATCATATACGTCCCTGCAACGTTTGGCCTCAAATCTAATACCTTGCTTGCTGCTAATTTTCCCAACACTGCAAGCTTGTGCGCTTTACAGGCTCCAAGAAATGCTCCCCAAACGGACTCATCAGGCATAAATGGCATAGATTCTATCAATTCATAAGCTTCTTTAGCTCGCCCAGCACGTCCTAGCAAATCCACAACACACCCATAAATATCTTGATCCGGGGTGATATTATAATCACTTAACATTGATTTGAAATACCTTAAACCCTCATTGACTAGTCCAGCATGGCTACACGCATGCAGAACTGCCACAAACACGATTCTATCGGGCCTAATTCCAGAATGAATCATCTGATCAAACAGTTTAACAGCTTCTTTTCCATACCCATGGCTACCATATCCAATCATCATAGAGGTCCATGAAACGATATCCTTATCACACATTACATTGAAAATCTTGAACGAATTCACAATGCTTCCACATTTCGCATACATGTCTATCAAAGCATTAGCTACTGCTAAGTCATTTCCTAGTCCTCTTCTTAAAATTTTACCATGAACCGGTTCTCCAAAACTCAATAACGCCATGTTAGCTGCAGCGGCTATAATGCTAGTAAAAGTAAAGCAATTTGGAGTGATACCTTCAGACTCCATAAGACTGTAGTGGTTGAGAGACTCGTGGGGATCAGACTTTTCATGTCCCGCAATCAAAGTGTTCCATGTGATTATATTTCTCTCAGGCATTCCATGAAAACATCGATCTGCTTCACTCAAATGACTACAGCTGCAATACATATCTAATATTGAATTCATTACAGGAATACTGGATTCAAATCCATGCTTCACCACTGCAGCATGTATCTGCTTTCCATAAACATGTGAGCCAATTGAGGCACAAGCTCTAACAGCAATTGAAAAGCTGTATGGATTTGGTTCAGCCTCCTCCTGTTCACACAGGTATGAGAAAACAAGCTAACTGAACCAACTTAAAATCTTGTATATGATGCAATTTGCTGATTAGAGTATCACAAAATCTGTATGGGGATTCAGTGTGCGGAAAATCTATTGTATGTAATTTTTGTCTTTTTATGTGCCATTGCCAACAGATATTATACATGACCAGACAGATTAATATACGTACCAATATCATTTGTTTAAAAATTCGAAGTCCTCCATGACCATCGCCGTGGTGAGTGTAACCAGCTATCAATGTAGTCCATGACACCGCATTCTTAACCTTTATCTCCTCAAAAACCATGAATGCATCCTCCATACCATCACAACACGTTGCATACATGTCCATGAGCGCATTATCAACGTACAAATTCCCATGCATGCTATGCTTAAGAGCCAATCCATGAGTCAATGCACCACAAGACAGCGACCGCATGCCTTTACAAGCCTTAAGTACGCTAGAGAACGTGAACTGGTTAGGTTGCACGTTGACACCATCCCTCATCATCTCGTAGAACGTTGTCCAAGCACGCTTATAGTGGTTGCACGAGGTGTATCCACTGATCATAGAAGACCAAGCAACCACGTCTCGTTCAGGCATTTCATCGAACAGTACTCGAGCTTCTTTAAGCAACCCCTTATCAAAATATGACATTATGAGATCAGTAGCTAAGATTGAAGGAGGTTTAGCTACAAATTGTGGGTTCAAATGGGTGGGTGAATTTTGTGGCCAGTTCAGAGAATTTATGATAGTTTGAGGAATTTGATGGAACTGAACAACTCTTCTTGTAGTCATTTTTTGGTGCATTATGTAGAAAAGGCTCCTAACATTTCTTGTCTTTCTTAATGTTTATGCATTGCTAAGAAATATTTTATTGTAGCGCAGGCGAAAAAATGACAATAAAAAGCGAAATGTTAAGAAAATGAAATGAGAATACGAAACATAAGAAAATTACGAAACAGGTTAGAATATTTTTGTTCAAGTGATATGCGACTATTACAGTGAAGGTCCCAAACATTTTAAAAATCTGCAAATTACATCCAAAACTTTAATTTATTAAAAAATGGGAAATTTGCATTGGAGTTTCATAACCTGTCAAAAATACACAGCAGTGGTCCCAAGCTTTTCAAAGCTGTGTGACAGAAGGATCTCTAAACGATTTTTGGACTTGTCCAAAAATCTATTAATTGACCAGATATATTTATATTCTAGAATTCACTTGACCACCCAACCCCAACGCCTAACCACTTATATTGACCAAAACCTAATTAGGTGTATTGACAAAACCTTAATATAGTGTATTTACAAATCCCATTCTATTTACTTTCCGATACCTTCTTATCGAAAACATCTCCAATGGAGGAATGTAAAGGAGAGGCAAATTATATATTTTCAATAGAAAATGTAAAAGAAATGTAAGTTACGTCCAAAAAGTAAATTTAAATCTTTCCATTAAGTATAATTTGAATTTAAATCCACCGAAACGTATATAAAGATGTATAAGCAATTTTGAATATACCAATTTAAACCAAATTTTACATCACTATCTTAGAAGATCAAGTGATTCAAAATTAGTGCTCTAACTTTTGATCCACCGAAAAATTTAAGTCACTTTTACAAAAGTAGAATTTTATGTCTTATGTTTGGTGAGAATTAAAATCAAGTTTTTAATGAATTTCGATAAAAAAATGATAAAATGTGGAGTTAAAAAATTATAGACACGTGAAATATATTATTAAAATTAATTATTGATATTGACTTATCTAAATTTAAATTTTAATCCCTATCAAGCAAGGCATGTACTTCTAGATGTGGCCACATGTGCAAAAATACTTCTAGATTTGGCTATATGCGCAAAAGTTTTCAAAAACTGCCATATTTAAAATGCACCCATCGACTTTGGCTCCATATTAAGGGGGTGTTTGATAGATATTTTTATGTAAAAATATATTTTAAAATAGTAAATTGATGTGAAATATGTGGCTGAGAAATAAGAAAAAAAGTTTATTTACGTATAATATTATTTTAATAAAGAATGTGTTGTTAAAAAAAAAAAAGAAAAAAATACATTTTGAAAAAAAAGACTACCAAACGGGGCCTAAAACTCCCCAAAATTAAATAATTAACAAACCATGTGCATCATTCCTTTGAAATAAATGTGTTAATATGCCCATTTTCTGTCCTGCTTTCGTTCTATATCAAAAATTAAAAAAATAGCTCATGTATCAAAAATATGTTAAGAACTCCATTAAAATCAAGACGAAACCTGTCAATCTGACACAAACTACAAATATTGGGTGAATCGGCCAAGGGTCGACAAGATACTGACCGAAGAATATTTAGGGCCTGTTTGAGTCACATTATTTCAAAAAAAAAATATTCTTAAATAATGATTTGACATTATTTCAACCATACATTTTTCAAAAAAATAATTTTACACGTAGATCAAGAACTTTTCCTTATTTTTTAACCACACATTTTTCATTAATACATTATTCAAGAATGCATTATTACCAAAATAATGTGGTTTAAACACCCCCTTAGTATGTAGTATAGACCATATTCAATAGCACCCAAACAAGGCATATTAACAACTAAGTCAACAAAAATAACCTTACAACAAAAATAACATCAATAACATCACGACCTCACTTCAATTTCACCTGCCTGGGCAAGAGTCGGAGACCTTTATAAGGACGTGAAGGTAAATTCTTTAGATCCAATTTACCTATCTGTAAACTAGAGAGAGCAATACCCATAATCTCGAAATTCACTTGAAAGGTGGGAAATATTTTGAGCCGCTCTAAGCCCGTCTCGAGCGCCATTTTTCTGACATTGAAGTAGAAATCCGTCCAATTGACCGAGAGCAAGTCTGCAAAAATTTGTCACCAAGTCATCCAGAGTCAATAAGACAACACATATCTAAAATATTTAAAAAGTCACATATGATAACAAATTTTTGGAATCATATCATTCCTCGATCATTTATGTGGTCCGCAGTAAATGGACACCGTGTCATCAAGAATTGAAAATCACAATTACAAGCTCTATCATAATGATGGACTCTTAATCTAACTACTTCGAAAATCGCATAAAAATAAAAATCTCGCAAGACTGGAAAATTGCCCTACATGAAGGCATGCCTGATCGTATAGTTTTGACCTGACTATACAAAGAGACATGTATCTAGGATAATTTTATGATCCACACCCAGCAAGAGAGAATTTGTCATACTGTTCATAAATGACTGTGCGTTAAAATTATCTGTTAGTCACCCAACTTACAGCATTTCTTCTATTTGGTAACCAAACTTTATTTATTTATTTATTTTCTTTTTAGATCACTGAGCTTTCATTCTTGTTTCATTTAGGCATTCTATCCTACTAATTTAGCAGGATTGCTGAGGTGGAAATGCGATATATAAAATAGATTACTCCATTATTTTTAATTTTTATAGTTCAGGTAGACAAAAATGTGTGTTTTGGAATGCACTTAATAAAGAAACAAAATCAAAGAAAAGTAAAAAAGAAAAAGCACTACTTGTCCAACAACACATTTTTGCTAAGTTGGATGATGAAAATATTTCACAATAGTTATTGTTGGGCATTTTGGTAAGTGATACCAAAATCCCCTAGACGACGATAAAAAATCGAGGCCCGTTTTAACTTCTTAGGCTATAAGCTTAGGATTGAAGAATTATATCTACACCACAATTGAAGTAGTCCAATTATGTTGAATATTTAGAGGTAATCAGTCCATTGGACTAGATGCTCAATATCCAACTTGAAGGTAATTTAAAATCACAAGAAAAGATGGATAAATAAATCGATATCTTTTCTTTTAACCTTCTTATCCCGTCTCGGATGAACTCTATCCTTTTGGATTAACATAATCTTGCAAATCTTCTATCCTAATCTTGCAAGACTCCTGGAAAATTCGTTCTCCTTACTAAGTCTATAAATTGGAGCATTTACCTTCATTTTATAAACACCAAAAACTGAGAGAAAAACCAAGAAGAAGGAACTCTCCCTGCTTTGTGCAATACACGACACCTCCTCTGCCTTTCTTTGTGAATTTGTCTTTGTGATTAAAAATGGCCTTCAAATTGGAGAAACATTTGTGGGGTAGATCGAGTTTCTGAGCCGAATCAATAAGGGGAAATCGTTCTTGAATTTTATGCATTTTTGGTCTTGTTTTCTTTTCTTTGAATCTCTACAAATCCTAAACTAATTGATTGTTTGATTCGATTTATAGGTGGATTTGTTGTACAATTGGTATCAGAGCTTGGAGGTGGTGAAAATTCGGCCAAAAATCGACAGAAAATAGAAAAAATCGGATTGCCCAGTTTCTTGTACAAAAATTGAATGTAAAAACTCAATTTCTAGTCAATCCAAAAGTCTATTGGTGAAACAGAGACCAGGGTTCAGACGTGCAGGTGGAGGCGATACTGGGTGTGCAGCGCGTGATTCCGACGATGGCGGGTGGCAACTATGGCAGAGGCGCGTGAGGGGGTATGGATCAGATTCTTGGGAAGTTGTCTTCAAACAATTTGTTCCTCACATTATTTCTAACATTTTTCGTGTTGGAAATTTTTTGTTTCAGGTTACACAGGAAAAATTGGACGATTTTGCCCTTGGTGGATCAACGGTCGAAATTGCCACATATTTACTGAATTACTTTAGGCCAAAATTGCGACCCTAAAGCAGTAAATTCACATCTCTCATAATTTACGGACTCAGAAAAGTCCACTCTGGTAAATTGGCAGAAACTTTACATTATCGCACTAGCATATCATCATGTGGGGTGATCATTAGGATTGAGGGTTGTCATTGCTTAGCAACCATTGCTTATTAATAGAACCTAGGATTACTTGTCATTATCTGTTTAATTTTCTAAGTGAAATTATTTATTCGTCATTAGATTAATTTGTTGAATGTTGCGTTATCTCGTATTATTTTAGACTTGTACCTGGATTCCTATTCTAGTTCTTCCCTTGATATGAGAAATTGATTCTCGCGAAACCCTGGGGTTCTAGAATAGCGTATTATTGTGAAACTATATAAATCTTGTTACTCTGTATAATCTGTGACCTGTGACTTTTACATATATAAATTTGTGTTTTGTGCATTTTTTGGTAAAATGTCGACACATCACTTTAAGGTAGGTGTCTTTAATGGTAAAGGAGATTTTTCAATTTGGAAACAAAAAATGAAAGATATTCTTATCCAACAAAAGGTTTCCAAAGCTATTGATAACTCTTTTCCTACAAACTTGACTAACGAATAAAAAGAGAATATGGATGAACACTTCTATAATATTACACCTGTCTGATGCGGTATTAAGAAAGTTGGTAAATTAAAATCAGTTCAAGAACTTTGGGAAAAATTGGAGGAACTTTATGTATCTAAGTCAACTCCAGACAAACTTTTTCTACTTGAAAGTTTTTTTAGCTTCAAAATCGATTCTTCAAAAGATTTGGATAATAATTTGGATATCTTTAATAAACTCGTGCAAGATTTCACTAATTATGGTGAAAAAGTATCTGAAGAGAATAAGGCAATAATTTTGTTAAATGTTATCCCTGAAACTTATAGAGATGTTAAAAATGCTATTAAATATGGGAGAGATACTTTGACACCTGAAATTGTCATAGACTCGTTAAGAAGTAAAGAAATGAAAATGCGAGCTGAGAGAGTCGAGAGAAGAAGTGGTGATGTTCATATTATGAGAAGTAGGTCTTAATCAAGAACTCGTGATAACCAAAGTGGATACGTGTCTAATAGTAAAAAGAAAAGTAGAAGTTTATCTAGGGGTCAAGAAATAAAACTAAATGTAAAAAATGCTATGGTTGCGGTAAAACTAGACACTCATTAAAGATTGTTATGTTGAGAAAAACAAACAAAAGGAAAATGTTCACGATGAGGCAAATGTTATTACTTCCTCTTATGAATT